GCAGAACGAAAAAGAATTCTTTTGCGTTCTTTCGCCTTCTTAGACGACGAATATTATATGATATGTTAAAAGGAAAATCATTTTGTACAGCTATAAATAATCAACTTAGATTTCGAACACATATGATTGTAATTCTTGAACACAAGAAAGAGAAAGATTAAATTATCTTTTTTTTTGTGCTCATACAGAACGCAAAAAAAAATGTCGAAATTGAAAGAATTAATGTAAACACATATTATGTTCGATTTGTTTTCTACATGATTGTAATAATAGAATGTTTGTATATATTTATCTTTTCTGCAATAGCATAGCGTACTCACGTCAATGATAAAAGGCGGAGAAGATATCAGAAAAAATAGAAGATGAAAGAAATAAGATGATGTCATTGATCAGTGGTGAATAACTTCTGGAAGAGAGAAGAGGGAAAAAAAAGAAGCCGTTCATAACAATATATTCTTTTTTTGGTGCTATTATTTTGCTGTTGAGTGACATATAAGCGAATGATGAATATAGCTGATTCATTAATTAGTTGCATCATAATCTTTTCTATTCTAGTGGTGTACTCGATGTCAATGGTGCATCCATATCTTCAGAAGAAATTACAAATTTTTTGTTGCACAAAATTAAAAATAATGGAAACAAGGATCAGATGGATATCGAAAATGTTTACTTAATTCCTCATTCATCGAAACCTATCAACGAATATTTCAATCCAAAATTATTTAAAGGTCTATATCCAACTTTATTCTGTTATGGACGCGGAGCACCTGAAGATCAATCACGTCAAGTTACAGTAAATTTACGAGAACACATACGTTAACTATTATCTTACAGTGATCGTCGTTTTGAAACAAACCACAATTTTATATTTGTGATCTTCAATTTATTAAAACGACGTGATGCCTGCTTTCATGCTCAATTGATAGCAACAAAACCTTATTTTCAATCATCTGCCGATGAAATTCTCTCTTTAAATAGCAAAGATATTGAAACAGCTCTTGACAACAATTCCAAAAGAATATATAAGTCAGAATCAAACAATGCATTAAACAAACTGCTGCAACATATTAAAACTATTGGCGGTCGAGTTATGGGTCCAGCATATTCACGAACGTCTTTACGTACCCGAATTCATGCACTTATATATAACTAAGGACTGCCAAGCATATTTCTTACTTTAAATTCAGCCGATATTCACAGTCCTGTAGTATTATACTTTGCCGGCGTTAAACTCGATCTAGACAATATTCAAAACGAACAACTTATGGATACTTACAAAAGAGCTGAAATTATAACATCTCATCCGGTTGCTACTGCAAAATTTTTTCATTTATTGGTTTCTAATATCTTAAATATTATGATTATCGGTGGTGTTCTTGGACCAATAAAGGCTTGTTTTGGTACTGTTGAAAGTCAAGGCCGAGGTTCACTTCATTTACACCTTCTTATGTGGCTTAATCATGATATGAAACCAGCTGATCTGAAAGAAAAAATTCAAGATGCCAGTTTTCGTGAAAAGTTAAAAGCATACTTAGAAGATATTATCAAAGAAGATTTAGATGACTTCAAGGACAAACATGTCTTTGAGAATTTTAACGATATAGAATTTTTTTGCCAGCATATCGACTTCTACTTTTATGTTATAGAACCAGGATCATTCGATACTTCTCCACGAATATCACAAGACAATATTTATGCAGCCTTACGTACTATCGATCTAACAGGCTGTGCAGAAAATGTATGTCCATCTCGTGTTAGCACGACGCCGAGAAAATAACAACTTTCTCCATCGATTCCATACCGTTCGTCGTCAATTCCTTATGCTTCTCCATCATGGCACCGCTCATTACAGACACCAACATATGGCCAATCAACGTCTGGTACGATATAGTGAATCATTAAAAAAAAGAAAGCATTTGATTGCTATTTTAGATATGAATACTTCAAATAACAAATCAAATTCAATTCCAGCTTGCTTATTTGCTCCAAATCCATCGCCACCTAATTTTGCATCATGATTTCGTGCAGATGTTGTGCAACTTGTGGAAACAGGCAACATTCACAAACATAGCGATACATGCTATAAATATTGGAATGCCAATCGAGGTGACAAGAAAAGTTGTCGTATGCGTATGCCACGCAAATTAATATCAGTTTCAACGATTGATCCAGACACTGGTCATATCTCAATGCGACGGTCAGATCCAATGATCAATAATTTCAATGAATATCTCATC